ATGATGATGGATTACCGAAACTGACTTGGGTAAACAGATGGGTGGATAGCGAGAGAGGGAATGATATACATAATATATCCACACAGAGAGAGAGAGAGAGAGAGAGAGAGAGAGAGAGAGAGAGAGAGAGAGAGAGAGAGAGAGAGATGTACGGACAGACAGCTGAGTGCGTGGCTCTGTGTGTGCACAATATATACTGCCGGGGTGGGGGCTCCTCTTCCTGACTGGTCAGTAGAATCAAGCAGGTCAGGAGGAACACTAATAGTAGGACAAAAAAAGCTTTCGATACTTTCACCAGATGTGGAGTTGAGGAAAGAAGAAAAAAGGTAAAAATTGAAAACACGAAAAAAAAGAAAAGAAAAAAATAACAAACTTTTGAAGAAAAGAAAAAAAGAAAACAAGGAAAAAGAAAAAAAGAAAAAAATATGTTGAACTTTTTTGTGACAGTGGCCATTGGTTTATCTGTGGGATGTGTCATTTGCTATTGTTTGACTAATAGGCCTTCCTCTTCCTTTGTTTTCTCCTTGATTGGATCCTTTTCTCTTTCTCTTGCCTCTGTGAGGTCTGGTTTCCTCCTCCTTTTCCTTACCTCTTTGCCTTTTGGCTGCGTGCATGGGTCCTTGTGACACACGGGGATGGGGGCAGCCAGCGCTCAACCTGTCATCCACGTGGCTGCCCTTTTACGGAAGAGGTGATGAACAGGTGGGGCTTTCCTTTTCTTGTTTTGTCTTTTTCCGCCTTTGCGCTCCGATTGAGTCGGTGAAACTCCGACGAAACAGTTTGCCACAGCCCCTCGTTTGTTGTCCTCTTCTCCTTCCCTCTCTGCCTACGGTTTACCGGGCAGCTCTGTGGGGGCAGGCGCCGCTCAACCTACATCCACGTGGGCGGCCTTGTACGCACGAGGTTCTGAACAGGGGGAGTTATAAGGAAGAAGATAAAAAACTGAATTCATTTTTCCCTGTTTTTCTTTCTTTTTTTTCGCATTTGCGCTCTGATATTCTTGTGACAATATATATATGTTGTCCTCTTCTCTCTCTCTGCCTACGGTTTACCGGGCAGTTCTATTTGTGACGATATATATGGATCAATGCATACAGCGACAGATGGACGAATAGAGTGATATTGGATGAATACTACCAAAGAGCTGACTACGTAGCAAGATGGATGCATGGATAGAAAGGTAGATACATACAGTCAGACAGCTAAGTCGGTGACTAGATATATATTGATAGGATTTTCAATACAGCGACAGGTAGACGAGTAGAGAATATTTGGTGGACACTAGCTAGCGAGCGAGCTGGCTAGATAGATAAGCCGGATAAGGTAGATAAGCTAGATAAATAGGTCGAACCCTTGTAGATAAATGGGCAGTGCTTGGGAATAATTAGGGCAGTGCTTGGGAATAATAAGTGGAACCTTGTTGAGACGTGGTAGTTCCATTCTCTGCGAGTGCCTCTGAGCATATGTGTGTGTGTGTGTGTGAGAGAGAGAGAGACAGAGAGAGAGAGAGAGAGAGAGAGAGAGAGAGAGAGAGAGAGAGAGAGAGAGAGAGAGAGAGANGAGAGAGAGAGAGAGAGAGAGAGAGAGAGAGAGAGAGAGAGAGAGAGAGAGAGAGAGAGAGAGAGAGGTGAGAGTTAATTAGTGTAATTGGCGTTTGCTGACTTAGAGGTAGGAAAACGTGTCGGTGATGGTTTTCTTTCGGGAATTGGATTTCGTTGCAGTTGCCAAGGTGTTGACGCAGAGCGATCTGAAGGAAGTTGCAGCAGAGAAGGTCAGTAACATTGTTTTTTTTGTTTTTATGTTTCTTTTGTTTTTTTATTTTTTTATTTTTTTTGTTTTTTCCATCTGCATTCGAACTGGTCTGTATTTCAACAGTTCATGGGTGTACCATCTGAGCTGGGGCTGTTGGTGGTAAGTAACGTTTTTGCTGCCATTCACACCTAATTGGTCTGGTGTGACGTCCATCCCGCTCCTTCGCGTGCTTTCGTGGGTGTAGACCCTGCCTGCCTGGTTGCCTCCAGTAGGGCCCAGCCTTAGCTCTTTTATATTGTTGCACTTCATCATTTTCAGCATTCAGTCGGTGGGTTGCTGTTATTTCAATTCACAAGTATTACATAAATCCTAAGTCTCCAATTAAGTGGGGCTTATGAGAGAATCGTCTTCCTATCCAACGTATATATAGCTTGGCTAGCCTACCTCTTTCTCTGGTGTCGATTGAGGCGCGTTAGCGGTGCATCATTTTCAGCATTCTGTCAGTGGGTTTCTGTTGTTTTGTCTCTTTTGCTGTCGGAGTGCTGGCTATGGTGTCTTGTATGTGTGATGTCCATCCTGCCTTAAACGCCATCTCCGTCACGTGCCTGGGTGGTCCTGCTCCCGCGGCACTTCTCCAACCTTTTGGAAGCTAGGCAGCCTTTTTCTTTTCATAGAAAACATCCTTCAGTCCTGTATAAACACTCTCACACAAGGAGGATCGCTCCAGAAGGCGGAGCCTACAAAGGGAGGGAGGGAGAATCAAGCAAGTGCTTGTAGAGAATCTAAAACCACCAAACCAAAAATGAGGGCAAAAGCAAAATGATAATCTAAGAACGCATGTATCAATTTGAATTTGAAGAGGTGAGGAAAAGCAAGTCCAGTTTTAATGAAATCGTAACATGTCAGGATTTCTGAGAATGCATATCGATAATCAATTTGAATTTTGACGTGGCGAGGAAAAAGAAAATCGTAATACCTCTCTCCAAAATAGGTGTCAGGATTGCTCGCTCGCTCTATAGTCATTGGGTGCAACTGGAGGAGGGCAATCTTGATCCTGATGTGACGCATGCTTGTGCGCCTCTGTTTCGATCTTGATGAGGTCTCCTTGATATATAGATCTGAACTTATGTTCACCTGGTACTTGACTCCCACCTCAGTTGATTACCCCACACCTGATGCTAGGAATGGTAATCCTCAGTTGATTACCCACACCTGATGCTAGGAATGGTAGAACCTTTACTGTCTCTATTGGGCCATTCGGCGGCTCTACTCCCCTAGCTGCTGCCATGTCTGTCTCCCAGCCGAGAGCTGGATTAGTGGGTGGTTGCACCGAGGTGCACCATGTTTGTGGTATGCAGGCTGGATAGTCTGCTGCAGCCGATGGACTTGGGATCAAGTGCCATTTTCGGCGCTAAGAACAGACGTTCCCCCCCCAAGGAACCTGCTTTATCGTTTGGACCTCACTAAAACGAAGTTGAAAAAGAAAACAAAAAGAAGGGATGCAACAGAATAATCTAGTGATTACAGGCTTTGATATCGACGAACCTCGTATCGTTTGGGGGATATTACTCGGTTGTCACATCCACCGCCCCCCGCCTTGGTGACCTTGAACGCATCCATGATCTTCCCATATTCGCGACGAAAGTAAATGTAGTAAAAGAGTTGTAAATCGCCACCAGATTCAATAAATAAAAATGTGGGAAAAAAAACAAGCATCTGCCTTATCCACCTCACATCTGCGCCAACTACTTTCTTCACCTTCTTCACGGTCATTGGTGCTGGATTTCAGCAGAGAGATAGCTAGCCCAAATACAGTGATAATGACGGTACGTGATATTCGTGTGAAGAAGGTAGTCAAAAGTAGTCGGGCTCTGAAATAACAGGCAATATTCGAGTTCATCAAGATCCAAAAAGTTGGCGAAAACAGCATAGCTTGGCTACTGCCCTGTCCACCTCACATATTTGCAGGCACAGGAGAGCCTGACCTGATCTTTTCCTTTTGTCAGGATTGCTAGGGGTTCTTGCTTGCCACCTCCAGTATCCATGCGTAGCGGAGTTGTCAGTGACTTTAAAAATTCCGTCTGCCCAAAAAAATATGTAGTACATTCCCTGGACAAAAACGCAAATGTCACATCTAGTGTATCCCTTGCACGAAGCACTAGTAGTGATTTGTGCAATCTATCCACTCTGCTGCTCTGCTGCTGTGTTCAGCAACTGATAATGAGGAGGGAGCTGAAGATGGGTGATTGGCTTGTGCGAATAATAACCTTGTGTGCTGTTACCTCTGTTTGACGCGTTTGTTGAATTGCAGAAGCAACATCATTTTCTTCACATTGATGACTTCCGCCGGGAAGAAATTATGGGCATTCTGGAGCGGGCAAAAGAGGTTAAGGCTTTGCTTAAGTCAGGTGACCGGAGGTATCTTCTGTTCCGCCTCTCACCCACTCTGCCACCACTTCCTCTCTCTGTGTGTTGAGGGGCCTGGCAGAAAGGGCGTGCTGGGTGGCAGAAGGTTGCACAGGGCTTGGAGAGTTGGGCAATTGTAAGGTGCTGGGGGACGGGGGGGGGTGGACACTCACTCAAATGCCACTTGTTGTACTCTGTCCGAAGTCAGGGCTCTGTTCATAGCGCAAGTAAGAGTTTTTGTTTGGTTCATCAACCAGATTCGGCTCTTGTACTCTGTCGCAAGGGGGGTGCAGACACTCACTCAAATGCCACTTGCTGGACTCTGTCAGAAGTTAGGGCTCTGTTCATAGTGCAAGTGAGAGTTTTTGTTTGGTTCATCAACCAGAATCGTCTTTTGTACTCTGTCGCAAGGGGGGTGCAGACACGCACTCAAATTGTAAGAAGGGTGTGCATTGCACACAATCTTTTCAATGTGACAGATTTGCTATTTGGAATGTGCCTGGAGTGTAAGGATGTTTACTTTGGCAGATTGCTATCTCAAGACGGCTTGCTAGCTAGGAAATGCTGCTGCTCGTGCTTTGTCAGAAAGAGTTCTGTACACAGTGTGGATGGGGCCTTTTGTACGCCGTCAAGAGCTTAGGATAGGAAGGGTGTGCACTCCGTGCAGTCTTTTCAACATGGAAAAAAAAAGGAAACAAAGTAACAGGTTTGCTACCTAGAATGTGTATGGAGTCGAAGTACAAGTATGTCTAGTTTGACGTCTGGAATGAAGTGAAGCATGGATTCTATCTGAAGACGGCTCGTTAGTGAGGAAGTAGAGACCTGTTTGTTTGGTGAAACAATACTACACTCTTGTCCTCTGTGTGGTTGCTAGAATACTTTATATATTCCAATGCTTGTTAGCGTGGTCTACAAAAAAAACAAACACCCTTCCATTCTGTTGAGGACTTGCTGACATTTCCTTGTGCTCTTGGTCTTGATTCGCTTTGCAGTTATCTCCCGTTTAAGGGAAAGTCGATGGCAATGATTTTCACAAAACCATCAATGCGCACCCGTGTTTCATTTGAAACGGTGGGTGAAGGATTTCGCAGTATTCAACGCTGTCAATGTTGCAAATGCTTTGCTATCCCAGTGCGATTGATGCTTTTGTTCCTCTTTCTTTCCCTTCTCCTTTTTGGCTGTTGCGTCCTTTTTGGCTGTGGCCTCCACTCCTTTGTGCGTTCCCTTGAGAGTAGTAGCTTTAATGATAAACGAAATCCGGTGGTGGATTCCGGTGCACTCCTGCAGACCTTTCCAACCATCAGTGTGTGAGGAAAAAGGACAGACATTAAAAAAATGGACAAGCCTAGCAAGAAAAAAACACCTGTAGCTCTGCCAAATGTGCCAAACCAGCAAGCGTTTTCCTTCGGCCTGGAAGCCTCGATTGACTTAATAGAGGTGCCATCTATCGTTTCCCCAGCGCCACCTTTCTTGGAGCCTTCCCCCAAAACACCCCAAATCTTCTTTGAAAACAACATAAATTAAAACGTCTTAAGAAACCAGCGTAAGTACCCTGCAGTGAAAGCTCAGTTGATTTGGTGGTTAACATCAGGCGCTTTGCTAAACATTACTCTCCAATGTCTCCATGCTTCTTCGCTGCTAGGGCCTTCACTGTACCTGTGTCCCTCCTTGCCCTTTCCTTGGTTTTCTTGCCCTGCTTGTCTTCGTGGACCTCGTTGACCTCCTTGCCCTCAGTCCGTGACTCCCCCTCTTTGTCCTCCTGTCTTCTGCATGGCCTCTCGATAGTCTTGCTGTTGCATTGGTTTCTCTTTTTCGTTTTCTGTTCGTTTTGCTTTCTTCTCCTTTTTTTTTTTAAATTTAAACAGGTCTTTAAGGTCCTGGCTCCTTGTCCATTCTGCGGAGCGTCAGTCCGGTTCCTATTCCACCGGCAAGTCGGATGGTATTACATTAAGAACACACTCGCGCTCCTCCCCCTTCTGGTGTGGAGGCCCAAGGCCAGCATTGATTACTTCCAACCGGAAGGATGTACCTCTCCTTACCCCTGCCTAATTTAGCCTGCACTATTTCTCTCCTAGCCTTTGCTGCTGGACTAGAGATCCATTTACTCTACACTTAAAGCCTGGCCACTTGGGCTCCGTCTCGTCTGTTCCTCTCAGCTTCTAGGCTGTCTGGTTTACCTTTCTTGCAAGAACTGTTGACTTGGCCTTTTGTGGTGCTTTTTATTGGGTTTGCACTCCTATCTGTTGCGTTTGTTTGTTACTTGCGAAAACGTTAAGCCCTAGCCTGTCTATTTGCCCCTGGGGGCCGTGCCTACGTTTGAATTAATGGTGTTACTCTGAGATTTCGAGGATCGAGTAGGAGGCACTCTTTACTTGTAGCTCGTCTCCTTGAGCTCCCATCAGTATGTTCCTCTCAGCTCTTTGACTGTTGGAACTTCTATACTTTGCTGGAACTGCTGGGCTGGTGTCTTTCTTTGTTTTTGCTGAAACCCTGAGTGCTGTCGGGCTTGGTTACTTCTCCATTTGTAAGCGCCGTAAACCCTTGCTGGCTTTTCCTCCCCCCCTGTTTGGGTATTTGCTATTCAGTGGGAAATGTAAAGATGTCTTGCTCGTGTATGGCTTGCATTACTCCGACAGGGAAAGCTCTTCATGACGTCTTCGAAAAATAAAAGAGAGAAGCAGTAGAAGTGGTGCTAGCATTGCCATCATGTTGCAAAGTTCCGTTCTGTCTACTTGTAGGATGTATGGTTGCAATGTCTGGTGTTAGTGTTGTTTCATCTGATGACTGTTAGCGGGTGTTTGGTATGTGCTGCTTGAGGTAAATAGCAGCTCGTGTGTGTGTGTGTGTGTATGTGTGTGTATGTGTGTGTGTGTGTGTGTGTGTGTGTGTGTGTGTGTGTGTGTGTGTGTGTGTGTTTGTTGTCGTATTCGCTATACACTTCAAAAAAGCATGACTGTGCCAGACTGTTTTGTCGGACTTTCACCGACTCTGTGTGTGTGTGTGTGTGTGTGTGTGGGCGTGTGTGTATGCCATGCATACCCTTTGTGCACGTGCATGGTAGTTGTGCACGTCTTTTTGTGTTTGAAGGGGGTGGGCAGGAGGGAGGGAGGGAGGGAGAGAGAGAGAGAGAGAGAGAGAGAGAGAGAGAGAGAGAGAGAGAGAGAGAGAGAGAGAGAGAGAGAGAGAGAGANGAGAGAGAGAGAGAGAGAGAGAGAGAGAGAGAGAGAGAGAGAGAGAGAGAGAGAGAGAGAGAGAGAGATCTAACCGCTGCAAAACTGTTTTTTTTTAACTTTTTTTTTGTGCTCATCATGAGCCTTTCTTCCTTTATATACTGCTTTAGTTTCGGGGTACAAAGTACAGAGCACTTTATCAAAGAAATTGTGAAGAGACAAAAACTGTGGCTTTTTCCTCTAGTGTTCACATTGCAGGTTTGTTGTTGTCTGCCAACAATGTGTCCGTGTATGGACCTATAACTACTATAACTCCGGATTCGGCTTCATTGCTTTTGCCGTTTTTGTTGTATGCAGGGCTTCTTCCTCCTCGGTGGACATGCAATCTATCTAGGCCCGGAAGACATTCAGCTTGGGAAACGAGAGGTGAGCATTGCTGCCTGCTGTTTCTACATGTCCTTTCATTGGATATGGAGAAACTGAAGTTTTAAAAGTTTCCTCTCGTAAGCAAAAGACATCCATTTCAGTCTTCTCGTATTCTTCTTAACCAACGGCTGACTAGCATGAATGGCAGAAATGATCTTTGCTTATGAGTAAAACAAGTGATTCATTCTCAGCCAACCCTTCCCCCCCCTGTGTGACATGTGGGTCACGAAAACAGGGCATCAGCTAACACAACCCCAAGGGGAAAGAAGAAAAGTGAAGGCCAAGTTAATTGTTAATTAAACTTCGTGAAAACACATGTTATTCCGATGAAACCTTGTCAAACGAGTCCTTTGCTGCTTCAGCAGCGAATCCGTAAGTCCAGGAGGATTGTGGTCACATGGTCGGAAAAAATTCCTCAGAATGGAACAACATGCCATGGATGTGAGGAATCGGTTTAAGTTGAGAACTGTGTTGATGCCCATGTTTAAGTCAGATGATGCCTTATCTGTGGCCGTCTGATATGGACCTGATTCTCCTACATGGTGTAGTCGAGAGGTTGATTGAGAGTGCCAAACATGTTCATGTGTCTGATGATGCCTTATCTGTGGCCGTTTGCTATGTACCTGATTCTCCTACACGGTGTAGTAGAGAGGTAGATCGAGAGTGCCAAACATGTTCATGTGTCCATGTTGGGATCTTCGAAAAGTGTTGGGCTATAAATAGTCCACACTCCCCATCCCGCTTAAGCCACCAGTATGTTTCTCGACTATTTTGTAGAAATGCGCTCTGCATGCTGGCTCGTCAGGCGGGATGCACCGGGGTGCTGTTTCACCTGAAATCCATTTTGCGTGGATGGATTTCTGGTGAAACAGCACCCCGGTTCATTCCGCCTGATGTGCCAGTATGCACGGCGCGTTTTTGCAAAATGGCTGAGAAACGTGACTGGATTTGAGTCTGCTGTGCATCTAGTGGGAAATGTGGGTCGTGCATGCAATCAGTTGCTGTGATTCGTGTGCAGCGGTGGTGGACTCTGGACGGACAGCTCTTTGCATTGCAAATGGGAAATGAAAATGATCTCACTTTTTGACCCGTCTTTTGACACAGCCTTTTGTTTGTCACTTTTTCCACAGACAACCACTTTAGAGCCTAGTTGCCCTCGGTCCGTTCGCAGGGCTTGTTGCCTCATTGGTTAGGTTTCATGTCTTTTACTTCTTGTTTTTGACTCTCTGATAGTTTTGCTAGGAGTATCTAGGCAAATGTTTTGTTAATACTGCGTAATTCGGCTTAATACTGCTTAATACTGCTTAATTCTGCTTCATTCTGCTTCATTCTGCTTCATTCTGCTTCATTCTGCTTAATACTTCTTAATACTGCTTCATACGGCTTCATACTGCTTCATACCGCTTCATACTGCTTCATACTGCTTAATTCTTCCGTCTGAACTCCGTTGAGAATCCCATAAACCTTCATTGCCAGTAATGTACCTCTCAGTTGCCTGGGCTTGATACCTGGTGGCCACTATGTGAAGTGTTGCAGTATGGCGGCATGCAGGGGGACAGGAGGAGTGGTGCCGCCTGCCAGCAAATCAGCGCACCCCTCGCCCTTCCGGTCCGCTTGCTGCCATTGTCATCTCTGCAGCCCAAAATTTGGAGGAAGTATGAAGGTTGAACTGCCTGTACGTGGAGGAGTCTGTATTTTGATTACAGGTGTTATCTTATCCAATACAAAAAAGACACAAATACTCAAAAAGCCCCAGGCTTGTAGAAAATTGCGAGTTTCAAGTCGTCATTTTTTGTGGCTTGGGGCTACTGGACCACGATGGCTGGCGTGCAGTGCAGAGCCTCCAGGGCCGGGTGTACTGGTGGTTTAAACCGCCAGTATGTTTCCCAGCCGTTCTGCTACACCGCGGCTGCATGCACGCTGTGTCTGGTGGGATATATCGGGGTGCTGATTTGCAAAAAATCCATCCAGGCAAAACAGACCCTGTGTGCAATGCGATTTGCCTGGATGTATCGTTTTGCGAAGCGGCACTCCGGTACATGCCGCCAGATGCGGTGCGCATGCAGCTGCACCGTAGAAAAATGGCTGGGAAACGTACTGATGGTTTAAAGCAGGGAAACCACAAAGGAGGTTGGAAGAAGATCAGGACAGAGGAGGAAGTCGAAACATCGAAATGAGAGGTGAGGAATATAGGTGAGCTGAGCAGCTAAGCTTATGGTTCAACAACCATGTTGTCGTCTTCACGTTCAGCGATAAACGCACGTCTTGCTCACGGGACACATGGGGGGGAAAAGGTGTCGTCAGCATGGAGAACGTACATTAAGTCAAAAGGTTCAGGGCAAAGGTCAAGGTTCGGAATGTGAGTGATTCTGGAGGGATTTGCGAGTGTATGCGTACGGTGGCCTTGCATTTGCGTGTGCGATGTTTGACACCGGATGATGGGTGTGCGATATGAGTTGAGAAACTTCTCTGCTTGTATATGCTGATCTGGAAGTTGTACGCAGGAAACTCGTGACATTGCTCGTGTGCTGAGTGGATACAACGACCTGATCATGGCGAGGTTATTTGGTCATCAAGATATTCTAGATCTGGCCAAGTATGTATGTGAGCGACTTCCTTCTCTTTTTCACCCTTTAGCTAGTTTATGTCTATCTGGTCTATACGAGAGCCTGACATGAACTGCATTTTCTGAGCCAGCGCTTGCATCTTGGACTTTTTCAAATTGTGTGTGTGTGTGTGTGTGTGTGTGTGTGTGTGTATTTATGCGGGTCACCCTTGCGGAGGGGGCATGCTAATCTTCTCTGTATTGTTCCATTTTTAACGGATATACCGAAGGTCAGTTTTTGGAATAGTTTTACCCTCATGGCACATGATTAAGAAAAAAAAATAAAATTCCCTCATGCTGAGCTGTGGCTATGGTTAAGTTTCAGCAACTGTTTTGATCCAACTTGAACCAGCTCTCCATGTTTCTTGATCGTCCGATGCAGCCATGCGCACATGAAAATTGCTTTTGGCATGCACAGTCCGGTATTGAAGCTGTAAGTAAACTAGTGACAGATGCCGATAGTGCGGTAGTTTTTATTAACTTTTTATTATTTTTTTAATGATCCATAATAGCCTATTAACGGGTAAAATGGAGGTCGTCCTCACTGCAAAGCGACATCTGCCAACACCCTGCACACATGGTTTTTGTTTAACGTATGATGTACTCTTATTGAATAGGGCTGGGTAGCACCACGTACGCGTATGCGGTGCGTACGCGTACGCGTACGTGCCCAAAAACCTGCATACACGTACGCATTTTTTTTTTCTTTTTTTTTTTCACACATATATATAATGTATATATAATATATACAGTCAGTATTTAGTCACATATCTCCTCCTCCTCCTCCCGATCGTGATCTTCGTCCTCCTCCTCCTCCTACCCCTCCTCCTACCCCTCCTCCTCCTACTACTACTCCCGTGGTACTATCTGTCTGTCTGTCTGTCTGTCTGTCCTCCCCCTCCTTTTTGTCTGTCTGTCTGTCAGTCAGTCAGTCAGTATGTCTGTCTGTCTGTCAGTCTGTCTGTCTGTCAGTCTGTCTGTCTGTCAGTCTGTCTGTCTGTCTGTCCTCCCCCTCCTGTCTGTCCTCCCCTTCCTGTCTGTCTGTCTGTCTGTCCTCCGCCCGTCGTACTGTCTGTCTGTCTGTCTGTCTGTCTGTCTGTCTGTCTGTCTGTCTGTCTGTCTGTCTGTCTGTCTGTCTGTCTGTCTGTCTGTCTGTCTGTCTG